TTCTTGTGTTGAAGGAGTACTTGAGTGGAGGCCCAATGTCCTTCTGCTACCCTAATCCATAGGGTTTCTATGAGTTGGAATCGACTCGATGGCAGCGAGGTGGCGAGTTTGGAGTTTGGGGAGGAGTTGGCGGTGGGCTTGATCATCGCAGCCCTTATTTAGAGACCCACACCCAAAGGTCTGCCTGTCTTGCACAGAGGCAGGCACAGACCCATAAGCCCAACCACGGTGTTACAGAGGGTAAGACAGGGAGGGGGTGCTGGACGTGGGGGCCACCGCTATCTGTGTGTGTGTGAGTGTGCGTACATGTAGAGATGTCCAGGAAAGCTTCCTGGGAAAGATGGTGGAAATGGATTGTGAAGGAGGAGGCTGACGGGCAGACAAAGCCGAGCAGGCACCCCGTGGCAGAGGCCTGGTGTGGGTGTACAAAGGCGGATGCAGCTGGGGAGGTGGGCAGACTGGCCAGTGCAGCTTGGCTTGAGGATGGGATGTGAGGTGCCACAGGGATTGTGTCTTGCAGGGAGGCCTCTGAATGCCAGGCTTTGTGGCTCTTTCCCTGGGGAGCACCAAGGGTACATTGCAGAGAGTCTCTCAGCCTGGAGTGTGTCTGCCCTCCACATGCCGCAGCTCAACTGTGCCCTTGAAAGTGGCCCTCCCACCCCCCAGCCTTGGCCACATCATCCGCTGATCTCCCTCGTAGAAGCCATCACAGGCTTCACCGTGGTCTCCTGTAAACATCAGTTCTTCCTGGACACCCAGCCACCAGGGCCTTGAACAGTGCCTGGCACACAGACGGCGCCGTCCACACTAGCCGCAGGCTGGGACTGGCCGGGGTGGGGCTGGAGACAGGTGACCCCTCTGGAGTTGAGTGACTACACATTGGGTTGTGATCTGCAAGGCTGGCAGTTCGAAACCACCAAGTGTTTCTCGGGAGAGAGACGGGGCTTTCTACTCCCATAAAGAGTGACATCCTGGGAAAACACATGGGCAGTTCTGCCCTGTCCCACGGGTCGTGATGAGTCACTAGCTGTGAGTTTGGTTTTGGTTTGGAGGTGGCAGAGGTGGGAGGAGGAGGGCCAGATGCGAGACAAAGCAGTCCCAGACACAGTAACAGGTAGCCATCTGGATCTGGGAGGGGGAGCTTGTAAAACACAGGTTCCCAGATCTCAGCCTCAACTCAGGGGGCCGGGAATCTATGTTGTGACACAAGTGGTCCAGTGACACCCCCAACTGCCACCTGCAGGTCTCCCCGCACCTAGTGCTCTTCTGTCACCTACCTCTCATGTCCTGGCCACTACACATTCCTTGGGTTCTCAGCTCTCCTCCTACCTGCCCAAGGTGGAGAGGGCGAGGGAATTCTGGGAAACTTGGAGGGGCACTTCCTCCGTGTGCAGATACACGGCTGGATTCAGGTGCCCAGAGTCTCCACGCCCCCTGCGCTGCCCCGACTTGCTGTGCTACCCTTCTGTGCCTCAAAGGAGGGGTAGGCAGGTCAGGGTGATGCTGAAGGCCTGCCTTCCTGTGCCTTGCGGGGATTTGCCACGAAGCCCTGGGTCCGTGGGAGCTGTTGCCAGGCCCGCCAGGTGGCCCGGCTCACCTGCAGATGCCTTCTCCTCCGCAGCCTGTGAGCTGGGCTTCTACAAGTCAGCTCCTGGGGACCAGCTGTGCGCCCGCTGTCCCCCCCACAGCCACTCCGCAGCCCCTGCAGCCCAGGCCTGCCGCTGTGACCTCAGCTACTACCGTGCAGCCCTGGACCCGCCGTCCTCCGCCTGCACTCGTGAGTACTGCCAGGTCCAGGAGCCCCTACCAGACCAGAACTAGACCAGGCCCACACCGGAACAGGGCCCCAAACCTGGACCTCACGGCCGGGAGCCAATTCTCTGTGGGTGAGGCTGGACCAGCCTGTTGGGGTGGGGGTGGGGTGACTCTGGCCTTTCAACAGTTGCCTTGACCTCTCTGGGCACCCAGCCTCTTGTCATGTGTCACCTACCATATCTTTCCTCCATTCCAAACACACCCCTCCTGCCACCCCCTCTGCTTCTGAGGGCAGACAAGAGCTGGTGGACACATGCCCTTTCTGGCACTGGGCAGTTCTGGTCATCTCTAGACGCACCTGTGGCTTGCACTGATGCTGGGTGGGGGAAGTCAGGAGAAACCCCTCCCCAAGTCATTGTCATCCCCGATGCGCACGTCAGGGCTGCAGACCAAGGGAGCACTTGTAAGTGTGGGTGCTGCAGCAGGTGCCTGCCTGTAGGATCACAGGTGAATGGCTGGTTGTGTGTGCGTGTCTGGGATGCCTGCAGCTGTCGCGTGACAGCTGCTCCTGACAGCGGTGCTGGTGTGCCTGAGTCTGAGTGTGCGTCTCCCGTTTGTACCCCCAGCGTCTGAGCGTCCTTTCCCTCAAGGTCCCAAGAGTCTTTCTGAGTCCCAGATTTCCCGATCCCAGGCGCTTATGATCCCCATATGGGATTAGGAGAGTTCAGAAATTTATGTCCTCTTGGGGCCTATCCCAGACCTCTCACCCTGACCTGTAGCCCCCTCTCTCCAAAGCCTCCAAAGTGCTTCCAGACTTAGGCTCATGCCCCTTGATGGGGGCACTTGGATGGAGCATACGAGCAGCTTCCCAGGACCCCCATCTTGCCCCCTGGTGTGTGCTCAGTGGCATGTGGCATGTGCCTGCAGAGAGGGTGAGGGATGGGCTATAAGACACGGATGACTGAGCCGTGTCACCCAGGTGGCTGCCACCTGCCTGGGCTGGGGGCTTCATCCCTGGTCTAGACTTGGGGATGCACAGCCTCTGGCTTCTGGGGTCCCTGAGGTCCTGCTGGATGGCATGGGTCCCCAGACATGGAGGATGCAGGCCTGGTCTGATGGTGGAGACGTAGCCTCTGCCCGCAGAGAAGTTCCCAGAGGACACAATCATCAAGACCTTATCCCAGCTGTGAGGAAGGAGACACAGCCCTTCCTGGCATTCCCCAAACTGATGGGGCGTGTGTGTGTGTGTGTGTGTGTGTGTGTGTGTGTGTGTGTGAAGGGACTGGGCCAGCCCAAATTCAGTCCCCACCCCCACCACCATTGAAGCTCTCTGTACCCTGCTCCCAGGGCCGCCCTCAGCCCCGATGAATCTGATCTCCAGCGTGAACGGCACTTCAGTGACCCTCGAGTGGGCCCCCCCACTGGACCCCGGCGGCCGCAGTGACATTACCTACAATGCTGTGTGCCGCCGCTGCCCCTGGGCACTGGACCACTGCGAGGCCTGCGGAGGCGGCACCCGCTTTGTGCCCCAGCAGACCAGCCTGGTGCAGGCCAGCCTGCTGGTAGCCAACCTGCTGGCCCACATGAACTACTCCTTCTGGATTGAGGCAGTCAATGGTGTGTCCAACCTGAGCCCGGAGCCCCACCGGGCCGCCGTGGTCAACATCACCACGAACCAGGCAGGTAGGCGGAGACTCTCCGTCCTCACCCACATCCCCCAGGCCCCAGAATCCAGACCCTCCCTTTCTCTGGCCTGCCCTCCTCTCCAGGATGCTTCAGTGGAGGCCTTTCAGTGTGGCTGCAGCGAGCATGGACAGGCTAGCATGCTGGGCACAGGACCAGGGTTCTTGCACATTCCCTCTCTGTGCCTCTTGCTTTCAAACACTCCACCCACCACCCACCCCCGCCCCCCAGCTTCAGCCGCTGAGCATGCTCACTCATCCTACAATCCACTGCGGCCCTCACCCACTGTCTCCAGGACCACCCGTGGGTTGGGTGGGCATGAAACAAGAACCCCCAGCACTGTCCTGGCCCCGAGCAGTATGTCCCTCCCTACAGAGCCCGTGGTTCCTTCCAGTACAGGCTGGCGTGGGAAGCAGATGCCAGGCCATTTCCCTAGACTCTCAGTGGAGAAGTGTCCCTGGAACCTGGTGGGCATCAGAGCCACACAGTCTCTCCAGCAGATGCGGGTGGCTGGGCTTGAGGTGCATGGGCCGGTGGAACCTTGACCTCAGCCCTCCAACCCTGAGGATCCCTTCCCTCCTTCTCCCCTTCCTCTCTTCCCTCCCACTCAGGCTTTTCTGAGCTCCTGGCCCACATGCAGCATGATCTGGGGGGAGACAGGAAGGACTGGTGGGGGTCCCAGCAGGCTTTTCCCAGTGTACAAGCCTGGCTGGAGAGGAGGCAGGGGACACTGGGGCAGTCAGGCCTCACTGAGGTCGCCGACCCCATCAGCCCAGACCAGGCAGGCAGCTGTTCCCACGCATTGGCCCAGGTGGCGGACACTTTGCCTGGACGAAATGACCCTCACGGAGATGAGCCTGCCCCAGACCACCGGCCCTTGGCAGAGCCTGGGAGCCTGGGTGCCTGGGTGGGAGGGGCCTGCCGGTGCTCGCCCCTCCCCCCCGCCTGACCGGGCCGCCCCCTTGCCCTCCCAGCGCCTTCCCCTGTGGTGGTGATCCGCCAGGAGCGCGCCGGCCAGACCAGCGTCTCGCTGCTGTGGCAGGAGCCAGAGCAGCCCAATGGCATCATCCTTGAGTATGAGATCAAGTACTACGAGAAGGTACTGGACCGGGAGGGGAGGGGAGGGGAGGGCCGGAGGCGGGGCCTGGGTCTGGCTGACGGCCCCTCCCCGGCAGGACAAGGAGATGCAGAGCTACTCCACCCTCAAGGCCGTCACCACCAGGGCCACCGTCTCAGGCCTCAAGCCGGGCACCCGTTACGTGTTCCAGGTCCGAGCCCGCACCTCCGCGGGCTGCGGCCGCTTCAGCCAGGCCATGGAGGTGGAGACGGGGAAACCCCGTGAGTGCAGAGGGGCGGGGTGGGGGGCGAGGGCGGGGCCGAATGGGGCTCCGGAGTTGGTCCAGGTACTGAGCGCCAGCGGGTTCCCTTCATCCTGCGAGGTGGGCGGTTACTGCCTTTCGGTACAGGTGGACAGACCTGAGGCTCACGAGGGAACTTTCCCTGCCAGGACACCCCGACCCCCTGGCATTTGTGGGGCACCTTTGTTAGAATGCCCCAGACCTTTATTTCATCTTGCAATCCCTGTAAGGACTTGGTACGGGCCACACCCTCATTTACAGGTGAGGAAAATGAAGCCCAGAGCTGTGATTGGCCCCAGGCCACCCAGCAGAGTAAGACGGGAGGCTGGTCAGCTTGGGAGCCCAGTCCAGGCTCCTCCCCCAGCATGTTCCCAAGCCCACCCTCTGGGGCACACCCTAGGACACACTGTCAGCAAGTTGATTCCAGTGCATAGCCAACCTTACAGGGATTGTGAGCCTGCACATCTTTACAGGGGCGTCAGCCTCCTTTCTCCCAGGTCAACGGAGCTAGCGCTAGGGTTAAATTACCCTGAGCCACACTCTGGGGATGTTTAGACTCACCCACAGATGAGAAAACGGAGGCTCTGTTTAAATGACTCTCCTCCTGGCTGAGTCCCAGGACGTGGTGTCACCAGAGCTTCCAAGCCTGGGGCAGCAGGATCTTGCAAGGGAAGGGACATTGGGACCGGGAAGGGGGGTCCTGTGCCCTGCTTCGGCTCTGGGCTGGGAAGGCAGCTGCAGGGGCTTGAGGGTCTTCTTTCCTGGCAGGGCCCCGTTACGACACGCGGACCATCGTCTGGATCTGCCTGACGCTCATCACAGGCCTGGTGGTGCTTCTGCTCCTGCTCGTCTGCAAGAAGCGGTGGGTGCTCCTCGCTGCTCCCACCTGCTGGTGGTCCCTGCCCTGGGGCTGGGCTCCCTCACAGAGGCCCCACCCACGTCAGGCTTGAGGTGTGGGCCTCCTTTTGTAGTCAAATTAACTAGGGATTAGAAAGGTTAGGTCCCTTTCCAAGGTCACACAGCAGCAGATAGAGGTCAGAACCAAGACCTGAACCAGGTCTGTGTAAACCGAAGACTCTGGGTCACCGTCCCTTCTCCCACCCCATTCCCGAGTGGGGTGGAGGTGCGACCATCTGCTCACTGCAGGCTTGAGATCCAGATAGAATGGCCAGGGCTGGCTTATCCAATAGATGGGGAAATGGAGGCCCAGGGCACACTGCGGGGTTGGCATCAGAAGCCTCCCCTCCCCCATCCCTCCTCTCCACGGTCCTGTAGAATGAGCCTACCTACCGATGCTGCAGGCTGGGGGGGTCAGGTGGACTTGACAGGACTTCGTAAACTATGAAGTGTTCTGTCAATGTCACCATGGCCTCGGGCCGCGGGATGGAGCACCTAAGAGACAACACTCCATCTGCAGACTTCCTGGGTTCCCGGGACAAGGGCTGGGGTGGCTGGGAAGGCAAGTGGAGAGATGGGGCCAGGCTGGTCCCGAGGGGGGCGGGGGCCGGGCTGGCCTCAGGCAGGGCCCTGACCCTCTCCACAGGCACTGCGGTTACAGCAAGGCTTTCCAGGACTCGGACGAGGAAAAGATGCATTACCAGAATGGGCAGGGTGAGTCTGCAGAGAGGGGGTTGCGGTGGGGGTGACCCTATGCCTATTCTGAGGGTGGCACAGGTGGGCAGAGAGAAAAGTGCCCACAGAGAAAGCCAAGCCCTGGAGGCAGACGGTAGGGTGTGAGAGAACCCCAAGACCCCAGGGTACAGGGCTGCTTTGCTCTCTGAGTTTCACAGGTGCTTGGTTCCTCGGGTGCACACATGCCCCAAATGTGCAGGGTCAGGAGGGGGCATACACTTGGACAAGAGACTCTTCATGACCTTGTAGAGACCTTAGAAGACAAGACACAGGAGGCAGACATACTTCCATGCCCCACTCCTGTGCCCATGGTCCGTCCCTGTTGTCATCCAGCCCTTTTGACTCAGAGCAGAGCTGCCCACAGGGTTCCCAAGGCATGCCCTTGGAAGGGGACTGCCCCAGTGCCCTCCTGCAGAATGGCTGGTGGGTTTGAACTGCTGACCTCTCCGTTAGCCACTGAGCGCCTCGTTGCTGCACCGCCAGGGTTCTTGGGTGCCAGGGTAGACCCTCGTATTACGTAATCATGCTGTTTCTGCCTACTGGGCCTGAACGGCACCTCCGAATCCATCCGAACCCAACCTTCTAGAGTAATTTCAAAATCCATTCAGTTCGTTATTTAGTACCTGACTCCACCCTCTGCCATTCCCGGGGTCCACGAGGCTGGCATCTCTTGGTTCAGCTTCTGCAGAGGGTGAACTTCACTGCTTCTCTAGGACAGAAAGAAAGAGCTAGCCATCAGGTGTGTGCCGTCAGGAGTGCCTCGGACTAAACCTAGGATGTGTGTGGATAAAAATTCATGGACAAGTTCTGTTAGTTTTGGAAAAGTATTCAGGACTCTAGAAGTGACCCTAGAAATGGACGTGCTTTATCAGAAACGACTGGAGACTGAAGCCCTATAGCGTCCCAGAACGTGACATTGACGTGCAGCTGTCACCTGGAGTGTGATTATTGAGGGCCTTCTGGTTGCCTCCAGACCTGAGATTCCCAGACAGCCCTCAGGCCCAGGGAAACTGGGAGGGAAGGGCCTCACTGGACCCTGCTGAGGGCCCTTCTCCTCCCCTGTCCCCTCAGCGCCCCCACCTGTCTTCCTGCCCCTACACCACCCCCCGGGGAAGTTCCCGGAGCCCCAGTTCTATGCAGAACCCCACACCTACGAGGAGCCGGGCCGGGCCGGCCGTGGCTTCACCCGGGAGATCGAGGCCTCCAGGATCCACATAGAGAAAATCATTGGCTCTGGTGAGTGGGGGCTGTGGGACCCGGCTAGGCTGCAGGACTGGGGGGACACACACTCGGGGCACAGTGGGGACTGGTGGCACAGCTCGCCCCATCTGCCCCACTCGTGTCTGCAGGAGAATCTGGGGAAGTCTGCTATGGGCGGCTGCGGGTGCCAGGGCAGCGGGACATGCCGGTGGCCATAAAGGCCCTCAAAGCTGGCTACACGGAGCGACAGCGGCGGGACTTCCTGAGTGAGGCATCCATCATGGGCCAGTTCGACCACCCCAACATCATCCGCCTGGAGGGTGTCGTCACCCGTGGTAGGTGCCCTTCTGCCCAGGATAGGGCTGGGTGTCCTGATGTGCCCCTGCCAAGCCTGATATGCCCCCTTAGCTCAAGTCCCCTGACATTTTGGGGGTCAGGGGGAGGTGACACCAGTACACCAGTGGGAGTCCTAGACTGGCCCTGGGACCCTCCGTGCTCACTTAGCTCCTGGAGGCTTATGGGACGGGCTGTTCCTGAAATCAGCAGCCTTGATCTCCCCACCAAGAGCCACACTCTCCCCTTCCCACCCTTCCAGGCCGCCTGGCAATGATCGTGACTGAGTACCTGGAGAATGGTTCTCTGGACGCCTTCCTAAGGGTGCGTGTCCCACCCCACCTTCCTCACAGGTGGCAAGGACAACGGAGGGTCCTCTACCCGGAGAGCTGGCACCTAGCGGACCTGGGGCAGGGGGAGGCAAGGGAGAGAGGGGCTATGAAAGGTCAGGCGAGCAGCCCGCCTGGCAGCCCACCCCACCCTAGGAGCGCCCCTCTGCTCCAGGGGTCCTGCCCGGCAGGCTCAGGCCTGGCAGGAGTGCCGCTGACTTGCTGGGCACTCTTAGGCACGTGACTTAACCTCTCTGGGCGTGGTCTAGCTGCCACAGTTGCTGGGAGGGTGCACAGGACCGGACCCGCCCAAGGCTTCTTCAGTAGTGAAGGCTGTTCTTGGTGGCCATCACATTCATTCCAACACACAGCAGTGCCTTGGGGTTCCCAGGCCGCGACCTCTGGGAAGCAGATCCCCAGGGTCGCTCTCAAGGCACGCACCTCTGGGCAGGTTCAAAGCACTCACCTTCTGGCCACTTAAGTAAGAACATAACTACATGCACCACCCAGAGACCTCGCCAAGGCCGGCTCAGCTCCGAAGGGCTGTTCAGATGGGAAGGCTTCCCGTCCCCGCTGGAACTCAAGCTGTGTCCCTCTGCAGACTCACGATGGGCAGCTCACCATCATGCAGCTGGTGGGCATGCTAAGAGGCGTGGGCGCCGGCATGCGCTACCTCTCGGACCTGGGCTATGTTCACCGCGACCTGGCCGCCCGCAACGTCCTGGTCGATGGCAACCTGGTCTGCAAGGTGTCTGACTTTGGGCTGTCCCGGGTGCTGGAGGATGACCCTGATGCCGCCTACACCACCTCGGTGAGTCCTTCACCACACACCCTTCTTCAAGGCTATGGCTGGGGTAAGGTGGCCGAGAGCCTGGAGGGTGCCCCCACCCTGGACCAGACGATTCTCCCATACATAAACAAATACCTAGGGTGGCTTTCGACATGAGGCAAGTCCTATCTCTTTTCTGTACATCAGTTCCCCTCTGGGAAATGGGAACAATGTCACCCGGTGGCTGGGACTGGTCGCCACGCTGGGGCTCCCTCACTTGTGCCCTCTGGAAAGCAGCATCTTTCTGAATGACACAGGCCACAGCTGTCTCGCTAATGACCCACCAAGGGCCACAACTGCCCCACCAAAGTCCCACCAATGACCAGTTGCTTCCAGACGTGTTTGATGGTGATTTGGACCATCCAGAGCCCCTGGGTGGGTGAATGACTCGTATGCTGGGCTGCTAACTGGGAAACTGGTGGTTTGAGTCCACTCAGAGGCACCATGGAAGAAAGGCCTGGCCATTGACTTTGGAAAACCCTGCGAGCTTAGTTCTGCTCTGACCCACTCAGGAAGTGGCCACGATTGGGCCCCCTCCACAGGGATGGCCAGAGAGACATTCAGAGCTGCCCTGGGCACCACCCTGCCTAGCTTCCCTGCAGAGCTCTCTCCTGGGAGAACTAAGGGTGGTTTCTCTTCGGGACAGGACACAAAAGGGAGCAAGAGTTAGAAAATCCTGAGCCCGTGGTCTAATTAGCCCTCACTGTTGGCTTCAGTTTATTGAGCACCTACTGTGTGCCTGGCACCCAGCACACCTTTCATTCTGTCTTCACCCCTGTGAACCAGTTTCTCCCACCAGACAGGGACTCCTGGGAGGCCAGGCTGCCTCCCCTAATGGGACTCTGAGTTCCCCAGCCCGGGACACAGGTGTCCAGCACTCAGTCCTCTGACAGACAGGAGACGGCCCTGGCCCAGATCCACCCGCATGGGCCTGAGGCAGCCTCTCACCAGCTGCGCCTGTCGTTGCAGGGAGGGAAGATCCCCATCCGCTGGACGGCGCCCGAGGCCATCGCCTTCCGGACCTTCTCCTGGGCCAGTGACGTGTGGAGCTTTGGCGTGGTCATGTGGGAGGTGCTGGCCTACGGGGAGAGGCCCTACTGGAACATGACCAACTGGGACGTGAGTGCTGGTCCTCTCTGAGCAGGGGGCTTGGGGCTATGGGGTAAAGAGGAGACCCCAGCCCGATACTTGTCTCTGCCCAGGTCATCAGCTCTGTGGAGGAGGGGTACCGCCTGCCTGCACCCATGGGCTGCCCCCGCGCCCTGCACCAGCTCATGCTTGACTGTTGGCACAAGGACCGGGTGCAGCGCCCTCGATTCCCCCAGATCGTCAGTGTCCTGGATGCGCTGATCCGGAGCCCCGAGAGTCTCAGGGTCACGGCCACTGTCAGCAGGTGCCTGCTGTAACCCCGGCTCCCGCCCAGACACCAGGCAGGACCTGAATTCAGTCCTGAGCCCTGGCGGATCTGCAGTGATAGCAACAGCTTTTATAGGCCAAGTGCTTCCACGAGGACAAACAGCCTCTGGGCACTGCTGTAAATACAAATCTCATGTCTGCTCTCCAGACACTCAGCCAGCCCCGGCCTCTGACCTCAGCCAGCCCAGACCCCCCCACCCCCACCCACTCCCCATCCTCAGCCAGACCAGGCCCACGGCTCTCAACCCAGCACAGACCTCGTCCCTCGGTCCAGCCAGGGCCTTAGATCTCCGCTCAACCTGAGTCCCTCCTCAGCTCTCTGCTTCCCAGCTGGCCTCTAGTTCTCCATCTGCCCCATCTGGATTGAAACTGAGAGTGGCTAGTACCAGGGTCCCCAAGGAAGACAGAGGCCCTGCCACACCACTTACCAAGGGCCTCTCTGTCTCAGGTGCCCACCCCCTGCCTTTGCCCGAAGTTGCTTTGACCTCCGTGGGGGTGGCGGCGGGGACCTCACCGTTGGGGACTGGCTGGACTCCATCCGCATGGGCCGCTACCGTGACCACTTCGCTGCTGGTGGCTACTCCTCCCTGGGCATGGTGCTGCGCATGAATGCTCAGTGAGTGGGCTGCTGAGGGGGGCGCTGGTCATCAAGGGTGGGGGCTGATGACTGGGGGGAGGAAACTGGTGATCAGAACCAGGGACTGGTGATGGGGGGTGGTGGCTGCTGATGGGGGAGGGGTCGGTAGGATGGGGGCTAGTGATGGGTGGGGCTTGTTATTAGGGCATGGGCTGGTGATGAGGAGGAGCTGGTGATGGGGGTGTTGGTGGCATGGGGAGGCTGGTAATCCGGGTGGCTAGTACTGGGGGTAGGGGCTGGTGAGGGGCGGGGCTAGTGATGGGGGGATGGGCGGGGTGGAGAGCAGGGAGCTACGGGGGTTGGCAGCCCCGGGAGTGGGCGCACATGTGCTGCTTTCACAGGGACGTGCGTGCGCTGGGCATCACCCTCATGGGCCACCAGAGGAAGATCTTGGGCAGCATCCAGACCATGAGGGCCCAGATGAGCAGCACCCAGGGGCCCCACCGGCACCTCTGAGCCTCGGTCTCGGAGCCTGGGCAGCGACCCAGCCAGCCCAGGTCACCGTCGCCATCAATAGACTTGCAGGTCGAACAGCAGTCAGGGTGTCCCCAGGCCTCCCCCCCCCACTCCCTGGCTGCCATCCCCCCAGGCACCAGGACTCAGAAGAGTAGCTGCAGTGACCGAGGTCAGCCATGCCCTTCAGGACCAGGACCCCCACCTCCCTGGGGCAGAGGGCTCTCCCTTCCCCGAGCAGGGCCTGCACACCACTGGGCTCACCTATGTGTGAGAGAGAGACAGACAGACAAACAGATGGCAACATCACACAAGTGCTCTGGGGTATTCTCGCTCGTGTGTGTGTGTGTGTGTGTGTGTGTGTGTGTGTGTGTGTCAGGCCCCCGGGTGGGTGGCTGCATGTTCTGATGCATGTCCTTATCCACTGAGGCTGGGGCACATGTGCATGATGTGGGTGACGTGTCAGGTCACAGGCGTGTGAGAGGCAGCTCAGAGGGACACTGCCATCCTCATGAGCCCAGTTCCCACCTCCCAGGGGACTGGGGAGAGGTCCTGCCCAGCTCTCTCCTTGCCTGGAGGCAAGGCAGCTGCCACTTCTGAACGGCACCAGCACCAGGCCTGCCTGTCTCCCTGCCCGGGCCAGCCTGTCCGGTGGTATCTCAGGTCCAGGCCCTCCCTCCAGCTGGGGGACCACCTGCAGCCTCGCTGCTTCAACAGGAAAACAGGGTTTGGAACCAGCCCCACTTGGGTGGGCATCCCTGCAGAGCCCAGGAGACCCCTTGGCTGGACCTGGCTGCCTGTCCAGGGCCCGGGGTCCCAACTGCACCCCTTCTTAGGGCCCCCAGAGGCTTTTGTCTCTGATGCCCCCCACCCCCCAAGGCTCCTCCCTTGGATGTCCCTCTGCTGCCCCCTCCACTTCCCAGTCCTGGCCTGCTCCTCTGCCCCATGATCAGCATCAGGGACCACGAGCTCCCAGCCTCTGCAGCCCCAGTTCACTGAGTGGGGAGCCGGAGGTGTGCCTTGTCCAAGGTCACACAGCACCTCCATCTCAGTGCCCAGGCCTCCTGCTTCTAGCCCAGGCTTCTCCCCCCACCCTCCCCCGCCACACCATACCCATGTGGACAGCTGAAGGTGGGCAGGGGCTTAGGAAGCCCCTTCCCCTCTTAGAGCCTGAAACCTACCCCCCTACCACCCATGGCCCTCCAGGGTATGTAAATAAGCGTTTTTCTACCACGTCAGAGTTTTTTCCTCACTCCTGACAATGCAAAAATGGTCTTCAAAGCACATTCGCCACCCTGGGTGAGAAAGCCTCATCCCAGGGGGACATTCGGCGGGCAGGGCGCAAGGACCCCCACCTGGCAGGATGCCCTGTGCCTGCCGCCAGCCCCAGAGGGAGACGCAGGCCCAGCCCCCAGCCCATGGCCACCCCTCCCCAGTAGCCAGTACAGCTGTCCCGAGGAGCCACCAGCACTGAGCCCCCTCTCCCTCTTGCAATAATTTGGGGAACCTCAGCCCCGCCCAGGTGCCGTGGCCAGCTCTCTGCACCTCTATATATTATATTACTATATAGCCGGGTTGTTCTTCCTTCCTATGGAAGTCGGAAACATGGTCAGGACTCAATGTGGGGGGGGCCTTGTCTCCCCTCCACCCCATTCTCATCTGGTTCCTGGGCTCTGGATCCTCACCTTCAGGGGTCACAGAGGGGGGGGGGCTTGGCACCTCCCCCTCCCCCACATGAGGTCCTCTCGGGGTCCCAGGGATCTGTCTCTCTGTGGCTCCGTCCTGAGTCTCGAACTTGCCCACAACGAGAATAAAGTCTGCCTCATCTTTGCCTGTGTCCTCGACCTTCTTTCATCTGCGATCTCAGGAGACCTGGGAGGGAAAGTGCACCCTGAAGCAGAACGCCTACTGTGCGCCTCTCTGCTGTTTCGTGCTGCGGCAACAGGAAGGCCACAGGGCAGGGCAGGTGGCTTGGCCCACCCCAGCTCCGGTGCTGTTGATTCCGATTCTGAGTGGAACTGCCCCTCGAGTTCCCAAGGCTGTAAGCGCCCCAGGACCGGCCTGCCACACCTCTCTCCTGTGGCGTGGCTGGCACCTCTAGCAGTGCAGTGTCTTAAGGAGTGAGCCCCCAGGGTTTGCCAAGTGCTTTTAACGAAGAGAGACGGATTTTCATACCATTGAGGAGGCCCGAAGTCTAGATCCAGCTCCTGGCACTAAGTGTGTGTGGGGGGGAGGCCCTCCTTGTTGACTTCAGCTTCTAGGAACAGCCCCCCTCTTTGGCAGGCCTGGACTTGCAGGCAGACCTGTCTGCACTACCTGTCCCTCTCATCGTCACTCTGTGTGGCCATCCCTCTGTCACCCCACCCCCACTGCCCAACCCTGGCCCCCACTGTCTGCCTCCGTTCTCCACCCTCCCGTGCCACGAGGGGGCCGAGGCCCCAAGAGGGGCGTGCTTCTGCTCTGCACTTCTTTAGAAACAAACAAAAGCAGCTTTATTGGCTTCTACTTCACATGCCATACAATTCAATAGTCCAGTCACATCAGGGAGAGTTGTACAATCATCACCACAGTTTTAGAACATTGTCTTTCCTCTTGTACTCATCACTGTTAGCTCCCCATTTCCCCCCAACCTCCTCCCTTGTCACACCCCCAAGGAACCATTATAGCTCAGAAGTGCTTAGCTTTGGGGCCCATCCTACTTTGGCATGATCTAATTAACATAAAAGAACCCTCCCACTCCACCCCCCCATGACCGAACAGGATCATATGGAGAGCATTAGGATTTGAGCACATGTTGTGAGGGACATAAATTCTTTTAAAAAAAAATCATTTTATTGGGGGCTAGTACAGCTCTTACCACAACCCATACATACATCCATTGTGTCAAGCACATTTGTACACTTATTGCCATTTTCAAAGCATTTTCTTTCTACTTGAGCCCTTGATATCAGCTCATTTTTTCCCCTCCCTTCCCCACCCTCCCTCCCTGGCAAGCTAGCTCTGCCTGATTCTCAGGTCAGGTGTGTTTCGCTTGGAATCCGTGTCACGGGGGATCAAGTGTCTCCTGTGAAGAGGAGCCAGTGAGCTTAAAAAGTAGTCTCTTCCCTTGAAGAGCAGTCATTCACTAGATCCCACCAAATGCCTCCTACGAGCTGGGTGCCAGCGGAGATGCAGGCCCTCCCCTCCGGAAGGTTAGAGATGAGATGAGAGTTGCGAACATCCAGGAGAGACTCCCGCAGCCAGCTCCACTGTGCTCCACCCAGGACCTAGGACACAGACGGGCTAGAGAAAGTCAGGAAGAGCAGAGGAGAGCGTGAAGGGCAGACTAGGGCCATCACCAGTGGCTTCCTGGAGTGGGGAGCACTTCCAACGAGCGCTGAAGAATGGGAAGGGTTTACAAGTTCACTGTGTGGACAGGGCCCGAGGCCGGGGCTGCAGAGAATAACCCCAGACAGAGGAGAAACCAGCCATCATCAGGGGAGGGGAGTCTGAATCATTAAAGTTAGCTGTCCCCCCGCCCACGTAACCTGTATGCTTTCTTCCTAGTGAAGATGACAACAGGGTTTCCCCCGAAACTTGCTACCTCCTGAGATGTGTGTGGAGTAATAAAGAGGCCAGGAAACCAAGAGCATTTGAAGAAGAAAGAGGAGGATAAGAAAGAGGGAGGAAGCGGCACCTGCCCTGGCATAATGCCTGTGACGTTCTGATCATGAAATGGTTTGCAGTGGTCTGAAGAACAGAGAACAATGTCTAGAGCCAGAGCCAAATGTGTGCGGGCCGTGAAGCATGGTCTAGGCCAGGAGTCGGCAAACCGTTTCGAGAGTCATATATGTGGGGCTCTGAAGTCAAGTTGAAAAAAATTCAGGATATTATTTCAGATAATGGTGTAAAGAATGTATTTATGGCTCTTGAATGTTTTTTAAATTGTTGCGAGGGACAGGATTGGCTCTTCTGTTTCAAAACTTTGCAGACCCCTGATCTGGTTGATGGGTAATGTAGGGACAATTGAATACTCCCCTCCCTCCCTCCCCATGATAAAAAATCAATCTTCCATCCCTGTTCGTACCACTCACAAGATAAAAGGAAAACACTATACCTTTAAAACACAAAACAGGGAGGCAGCCAGCAATCATACTAAGAATGGCTTGCGTTCATTTGCTGTAAGAGAAATAAGTTAAAACAACAGTGAGATACCACTCCACACAGACACTTAGCAAAACTGGGGGGAAAGGGGAGGATGTGGAGAGACTGGAACGTTCATGCATTCCTTGTGGGATTACAGAATTGTGCCCCCACCATGGCAATCAGCATGGTGCTGCCTTGAACAAATGCAGATACAAATACCGCATGATCCTGCAACCTCGCCATTTGATATGTACCCTAAAGAAATAAAGAACAACACACAAACAGACTTATGCACACCTATGTTTGTTGCAGTCTTTTCGACAATAGGGAAAAATGTGGAAACAATCAAAACCCCCATCTATGTCTGCAGAGGGTGGATCAACAAACTCTGGGACATCACACAGTGGAATATTGTACATCCTTAGAGAACAATGATGTGCTTGTGAAACGCCTCACACATGGACAAAATTGGGGAACATTATGCTCAGTAAAGTTAGTCAATCTCATAAAGATAAATATTCCGTGATGCCATTAATATAAATGAAGAAAAAATAGTTTTCACACCAAAGGAAAATAAAATAGAGGAAAGTAACCGTATGACACTAAGAAACACACACACACACACACACACACACACTCATAAACCACGAACAGGAACAACACGATCAACTTTATTTTCTTGAGATCACATGCTTCAATAGAGATTTCTTAAAGCCTCAAGCTGGGAGAAAATATTTGCAGCCTGAATAGCCAAATGAGGATTTGTTTTTAAAACCCCCTGAAAATCAATATACCAAAAAAAAAAAAGCAATAGGAAACTGGATGAAGGATACAAACAAATAAATCACAGAAGAAGAGATTTGAATGGCCAATAAGACACAAAGAGATTCTCAACATTAATAGCAAACATGGAAATACAAATTAAAACAGTAATGAGCGTGTATTACACCAATCTGGCAAAAATTAGTCTGTAACACTAGTATTGATGAACGTATGGGGGAAACAGCAATATGTATCAATGGCTGGTGGGAATCTAAATGGGCACCATGACTCTGGAGAACAATTTGGAAGTGCTTGCTGCTGTTCCTGCTGTTAAGAAATTTATATAATCCACATATCATACAATTCAATAGTTCAATCATACTAGGAAAAATTGTCATCCCCACAGTTTTAGAAACAGTTTATCCTTTCTTGTACTCATTGTTAATAGTTACCCATTTCCCCCCAACATCCCCATAGTGTCTCTAGGTAGCTATTAATCTAGTTACTGACTCTATATATTTACCTATCCTGGGCTTCATGTACAGAAAAAACATGCAAAACAAAATCAAGAGACAAAATAAAACAGAAAAAGCCTCAATGGAAAAGTATAAGATATTAAGAACTGGAACAGATTTTAAGTGGTCAAAAGGGAGATTAAGTAATAAAGTGTTACATTTTAACTTAACTATCAGCCATAACTGAATTGACAACAGTCTTTACTGGGTAGCAAGACTACAGTGAACCCTCGCCACTTCGCGCTTCGACTTCCGCGGCTTCACTCTATCGCGGTTTTTGCGTAACAGCGCATGCTCTGTCATTACTGCCACTGATTGGCTCATACTGTACACGCTTCTGTCTGCATCGCTACGTATCGGAGCTACGTATCAGATGCATTTTTGCTTTTGTACAGTGTACTGTAATTGTTTGTGAGTGTAATGGTGACTAAAGGGTGTTTTTTCATGTCCTCTATGCTCTAACTACGAAAATATTTGATTTACAAATAAGGAATCCTACTTCACAGAATTTCATTTATCATGGTAGGGTCTAGAACCGATTAACTGCGATAAACGAGGGTTCACTGTATTCACATCTCTGAACCATGGTCAGAGGCTTAATTCTCACGGGGCCCTTCAAATGGATTTGGGGCTTCCACTGTTATTCGTTGTCATTGTTGTTGTTAGATGCCATTAGATAAGTCCCAGTGTAAAGGGACTCTGTCAAACAGAGCCAAACACTGCCCCGTCCTGTGCCACCCTCACCATTGCTCCTACTTGGAGCCCATTGTTGCAGCCACTGGGCCAATCTACCTTGTCAAGGGTCTTCCTCTTTTCATGGCCCCTCCACTTTCCCAAGCATGACATCCTTCTCCAGAGACTGCTCTCTCCCGACAACATGCCCAAAGTCATCCATAGCCTTCTGCAAACTGGATGTTCAGAATTTGACCCGATGTCAGTCCCTCCTCTGGATTTTATTATTTGTAATCCTCAGATCACACTGGCTCCTGTGTTTCTTTTGTGTGGACTTACTGGAGCCTCACTTAGATGGCTGCTTGTTTTGAGATGAGCCTTTAAGACCCCAGGAGCTATTCTTTTTGATAGCTGGGTACCATCTGATTTCTTCATCACATTTTGCTATAGCACCCCTATCTTCTGTGATCTCTCATCATTGGAATTCTTGACTGCTGCATCCATAAGCATTGATTGTGCATCCAAGTAAAATGAGATCCTGGCAACTTTTATCTTTTCTTTGTTTACCATGATGTTGCCTACTTGTGCAGGCGGGAAGGTATTTTATACTCTGTATACTGAGTTGTAATCCATACTGAAGGCAATAATCCTCCACCTTAATTAACAAGTACTTCAAGTCCTCTTTATTTTTGGTAAGCAAGATGATGAAATGTCTAAATCTATTCTCAGCAACACCACCACTCAATGAAGGCCTGT